TTCCCTGTCTCGTCTGCCTAATTAGTTCCAGCTGTGTTTCCCTCCTCTCTCAATTCTCCTATTTCTTAGATGTGTATTTTAGTCCTCTGTGATCCCTTGCTTATTGTCGTGTCAGCAAAGTACTGTGTACTCAAAGTTTTGTGATTAACATGCTGTTGAAACTAAGATATTAAAAAAAAAAAACTATGGACTGTTCTGTTCAAGCATGAAGATTCCCTTTAAAGACATAAATCAACTGCAGGAGATCGTGGTTTTATTGAAGGCAACATGAGGATCTGTTCTGCAAAACAAATACGAAAACAAGCAGAGTTTGTCGGACAAGATGGTACAGTAAAGCTTCAGAATCCACACCAAGCCTCGGTGGAGCAGGAAATGGATGATAAGCCCTCTCGGGAGCCCAAAATTGACGTGGACGTTAAAGAAACGTCAGCTTTGGTAAACTGGAGAGGCCTTGCAATCCCACCAAAGAAGAGGAAATCATTCCTCTCCACTTGTCCTTAATGGTTCCACTCGGGCTGCGAAAATGAAAAAAGTAAAGCTAGGGCTGTTAAAAAATGGAAATAATCAACTTGGCAAAGGACAATACTGTGTCATGAACATCAGTGTGTAACAGTCACAATGGTGTGGTGTCCCTTTAAGACACCCAAGTCGAGGGTTGATGGTGTCATCAGTTTGTGCCACTGCTCTCTCTCTCTGGGATTATGAGGACACGTACCTGCACGCTTGTGCTTAACGAGGGACGGATTTATGTTTTCTTCTCCAGACCTTTTGTTTTGTTTTGTTTGCAACGCTTGGGTTGTATGAACGCTGGGCGTTATGTTGTTCAGCCGCAGCCATTCAGCCGGGCTTTTATATGGTTGTTGAAGGCGTATTAAAGAACCACCGTGGATTACCGATACCAGTGTGGGTGTGTGTTCTTCCGACTAGCCTGCTAGGTGTTTTGCCGCCTCCTCTCAACCACACAACACAACCCAACGTTACAAGTGCCTTTGATGCCTTCTGTCTCAGTATTTGCTGCGCTTTGTGTGACAGTCTCTCTGCTCAAAACACGTTGAATAGCTCAGAGGAGAATAAAGTATTCCAGCTTGTGAAATCCCTTGCTTCAAAGTGGAAAAGTTCAAGGGGGCCACTGTATATAACCATAGCATCTGAAAACACCAGCATATGTTCTCAAGCTGTGCTCTACACTAAGGAATGATGGCAAGAATTCACGAAAGAAAGTCCTTTTTTATTTTGTGAGTTAGATGATGGAAATAGCTGTTATTTTTCAGTTATTGTATTAAACTTAAGAGGCTCAGACAGTTCTATGCATTTATCTTTTCTAACAGGAAACATGCCTACATTGTTCTGATAGTTTGCATTTTGTTACCAGCAAATGAACATTTTTCTCCAACAGAAAGAATGCTTTATCTTATCTGCTATATTGTTTTACTTTTACTTCGTGAATCATGAAAAATTATTAATAATTTTAAAATGATAGCGGCACAAAGGAAAAATGTTTGCAGCACAAATGTATGACATTAATTTTGTTTGGCTCGTGTAATGTGGAGTGGCTTGTTGACCTTTTGATCTTTACATTTTCATTAATATCTTTAAAACAGAAGCAGCACAAATGAAAGTTTTTGCAGCACAAACGTTTGACGCCACTTTTGTTGGATTTGAAGAAGGTGGACATGCAGCTAAACAAGTCACTCCTGGACTGATTGGAGAGAGGACCAGAGAAAACTACAGAGTCCGACATGGCTTTCCCCCCCGACATGTTGTCATATCATTTTTGATTGGTCAAAACAACGATAGTATTCTGGGAAAAACATTGCGGATAATTTTTTTATAACTCTGGTTTTTCTTGGCCTAGCAACACAATTTAAAAACTGATTTATGGTTTGAAGTCGACACAACACTTTTAGCACAAAAATGGGGGAATCAGGGTTATCTTGGGTTGATACATCATCTTGTTGCTATGTCATCTTAAATTAGTCATGTGATTGGTTTACCATGACTACTTCATTCTGCCTGAGCCAATCAGCTGCACTTGTGCGATTGTTTCGCTCCTCCCAGCTCCCAGAAAGCTAAAGACAGTTTTAAGCGTCAGCGTGTTGAAAAAACTTAAAGTGTCAGCACCACATTGTAGTCTTAATAACTGTAACACCATTGTAACGATAGAAATAGTACTTAGATTACAAGTTACTGAAAAAGTACCGGGGTTAGTATCAAAATGTATTGATATTTTCTTACAACCCTAGTTATGAGGAATGTATCTGTAACTTGTTAAATCTGTGCCTTGAAGAATTAAGACGTTCCTGAAAATGGCAATTTTATTTATATCACACATTTCATTACATGTAAAGTAAATATTCTTAACACAAAAGATAAAGACATAAAAACCTGTGAAGGTTTACAATACTTTGAAATCAGCAAACAGCACTAAACTAAACCTAACAACACCACCAATGAAAAAAAAAGGTCTGGAGTCTGTTTTTAATGTATACAAAGATGTAACAGATGTCAAGTCAGCAGGTGACAGGACCACAGTAACAGAAAGCATCTTTGGACTGCAATTAAAATAGAGGCCCAAAAACTGACCCATTCTACTTTTAAATACTGTAGAAACAACAAGTAGGCCTGCAGTGTGAGAGCAAAGTGCTCTAATAGGGTGATATGGTACTACAAGGTCAAATAAGATGGGGCCTGATTATTTAAGACCTTGTATGTGAGGAGCAGGATTGTAGATTCAATTCTGGATTTAACAGGAAGCCAATGAAGGGAAGCCAAAACAGGAGAAATCTGCTCTCTCTTTCTAGTCCCTGTCAGGACTCTTGCTGTAGCATTTTGGATTAACTGAAGGCTTTTCAGGGAGTTTTTCGTTTTCAAGCTGAGTCCTGGGGTGACTTCTTAAGTAATGGTTAAACTACTGTCAGCTTGAATGTCTGTGATACATAGACAATTAATAGATAAGTCAGACATTTCTTTAATTATACTACTACCATACTATAACTACAACTAAATAGCACTGTTTCCAAGTGGAGGAAAGATTTTAATGTAATAAGGATATTTTTAAGCATTACAATTCAAATAAACATTAAAGAAAACAAGAAAATTTAGAGAAACCTGATGTATAACAGATGAGGGATTCCAGCAGAAATTACAGCAGCTTTCACATCAAACTTCTCAAATGCAACAGAACTGTCTGTCTCTTCAGATTCATTATGATCCAATGATAAGAATGATTTCAGCCATTGTCATGATCACGCTGATGTTTGCACAGAGCAGATAATGAAGTGAATGTTTTTGCACATTGGTAACAGTGAAACAGTTTATTTGCAGCGTGGGCTCGTTTGTGTTTGGAGTATGAACTGAGATTCCTGAAGCTCTTGTCACACTGGTCACAGCTGAAGTTCCCTTCAATGTGTGTATGTTCATGTTTGTTACGACTCCATGACAGTGAGAAGCTTTTGTCACAGTGTCTGCACTTGTATGGTTTCTCTCCTGTGTGGACTCGTTTATGCTCTTTAAGCTCACCTGCAGTGGTGAAGGATGACCCACACTGGTCACACACGTGCTTTTTAACCCCACTGTGGATGAGTTCATGTTTTTTTAATGCAGTTGCTGTGGTGAAGACACTCCCACATTCTTTGCAGTAGTTCAGTTTCTCTCCAGTGTGTATACGTTGATGTAATTTTAGGCTCTGTTGCCAACTGAAAGTTTTTCCACAAAGGTCACATCGAAAGTCTTTCCCACCACCACAGTGACGACAGGGTTGAGAACTGGATCCATCTGTGTCGCTCTGCTTCTAAACAAAGACACAAAGACAGTGAGAGTCAGGGAATTCCTTCAACATTTTTATCCTTTTATCCTGACCTGAAATAAAGAGCATCTCTGCCAACGTTTAATTACTATTTAATGTTTACATTGTAACATACAGATTACTGGGATATAATAAGGCTTCCTTTTTTCTTCTGAAAAACGTTACCAACGATCCACTTAAAGTATCCGATATATTTTAATGTACAATAGCTACATGTGGTGCATGAAATTTCACACTTTTTAATTCATGTCACTTTTCAAATGCAGATGAATGTATTTGATGAAGAGGAACAGCAACAAGCACTGGCACTCTGGCTGCAAGCACACTCTCACCATAAGTTGAGGACATTAATAAAATTAGACTATTAAAAATCAGTAGATTTTTTAGGCAGTCAGGTGGACGCACTGATTGGTTTTAGTTAGATGAACCTCCTGTTGTTCAGTTAGTGAATGCAAGTAAAATGGACTGGTTCTTATATTGCACCTTGAGTGCTCAGGTAGAGTAGAAAAGTGCTTTGTACAGCATGTCTTATTCACACATTCACACTCATCAATACAAACACTTTTTCTAAGCTAAAGTGCTTTCTGGGGTGGCTGTAGTTAAGGAGGTAGACCATAACACTAGAATAAGATTGTTTAACACTACAATAACGCTAATGGTATTGTACTACAAAAAAACAAAAAAACAACAACAATCTGTTACTGAGCTAACACTAATGTTAACACTGTAGTTGCTCAGTTAGTCAATGCAAGATGACACAGTTAGAGCTGGGCATTTAATTTTAAACTAAATTGCAGTTTCAGCCTTATATTACACTGAAAATAAATTGAGATAAAAACTAATTTTTGTTTTTATTTTCAATGAAAAACAATGATGTTGTCTAATGTTTCACAATCATTGTGCTGTTCTCATTCTTCCTTAAAAACTCAAACTCACTTGCTGTTCAGAGGTTTCAATAGAAACCTGTGGCAGGATCATTAACGGTTTCAGCTGCAGTATTTGCAGAGGTAGAAGTTTACAAGAAGGATGCTTCAGCCAAAAACATCCAGTGAAGTTTCGGGTTTATTTCTACCATATAACTCTGTGTTCCCTACCCAGACTGCCCAGCAAATAAGAGTCTATTATAAAATTATACTGACCATCATGCTGGGTAAAACTAGCAAACAATTTCATAAGTATAAGTACAAGAATAAGTTCAGATGTGATTGTTTTGAAAGCCCCACTTGCCAGGTCTCCTGTGGAAGCATGTATATAAAATTATAAGATAAGAAATACATACCTCGCAGTAACTGCACTTGTAGATTTTCTTTCTAGTGTGCATTTGTTGGTGGATGCCCAGGCAATATGGAGATTTAAAAGCCTTGTCACACAGGTCACATTTATACGGTCTCTCCTCAGTGTGGGTATACATATGTTTTTGTAATTGGCTGTACTTAACAAACGGTTTGCCGCACTGATCACAGCAGTACACATCCTGTCCAGTGTGAATGCGCTGGTGTTTATTTCGACTATCTATCAGGCTGAACATTTTTCCACAAAAGTCACAGCTGTATGGCTTATTTCCAGAATGGGTAACTTGGTGCACCCGTAAGTTGCTGTTGCAAGTAAAAGATTTCCCACACTGTTCACAGCTGTATGCTTTAACTCCACTGTGGATAAGCTTATGCTTTTCCAAGCCATCTTTCCGGGTAAAACTCTTCCCACATTGATCACAGCTGTATGGTTTAACTCCAGTGTGAATGAGCTTATGCTTTTCCAAGACTTCTCTCCGGGTAAAACTATTCCCACATTGATCACAAGTAAATGGTTTAAGTCCAGTGTGAATGAGTTGGTGTGTTTTTAAGTGACCAGACTCAGTAAATGATTTCCCACACTGAGCACAGGTATATGGTCTAACTCCACTGTGGATGCGCTTATGCTTTTCTAAGTCAGATTTCCGGAGAAAACTCTTTTCACATTCATCACAGCTGAATGGTTTAACTCCACTGTGGATGCGCTTATGCTTTCCTAAGCCATCTTTCCCAGTAAAATTTTTCCCGCATTGATCACAATTGAATGGTTTTAATCCACTGTGAATATGTTTGTGTATTTTTAAGTTTCCAGACTGAGTAAAACTTTTTCCACACACATCACAACTGAATGGTCTCTCTCCAGTGTGAATTAGTCGGTGTTTTTTTAAGTGACTAGACTCAGTAAATGATTTCCCACACTCATCACAGCTGTATTTTCTCTCTCTCTTTCTTCTGTGAGATTTGTTGGCCACCTGAGAGCGCTGACGTTTAGCTCCATGTTGGTCCTGCAGTGACAGAGATACAAACAGAGGCAGTGAGTGAAATGCAGTCGAGGAACAAACTAAATCTTCAAACTTCATCCATTAATTCTAGTTTTAAACCTAGCTGGAGTGTCACAAAATGCCTTATTTATCTGACTTCCACCTACTGGTCGAACTAAGCAGGTCAAAGGGATAGAAAAAAAATTACCCTGGGTCTGTGGGCGGATTGCCCCTCTTGGGTGATTGTACCTGGACCCGGGGGTATAGAGTATGTTTGGGGAGTGTGAGTGTGTGTACAGTGTTCATTTCTATTTGTCTTCAGTATTTGTATATGTATATATGTATGTATGAGGGTGGGAATGCTTGTGAGTGAGTGAGTCCTTTATTTGTCACATGCAAAGTTTGGATCCCACTGACATCACATGGGAAGAGAGATCGGAGACAGGTAGGCCTCTGTCAGTGCGCCCCAGGGCAGCTGTGGCTACAATGTAGCTTGCCATCGCCAGTGTGTGAATGTGTGTGTGAATGG